TTCTCCTGAAAAATATCGTTCCATTTAGAACAGTGTGAACTGGAGGGAACTCACAAACGTGTATCTTTTGCGCAGCCGAGCCGAGCTGGGTTTTGGTAATTGCTTTCTTTCGACGGAACCACTTGGCAAGATTCAAGCACTTTCAAGGTACTTCCAGTGTGTGTGAGCATCACCACATCGTGAAGGTTAAACAAAAATATATCAGCCTCAACGGAAAAATCCACTATGAATTAGCAGCGGTCTTAGACGTTATTTGCTTCCAGTCAATTCAGGGGGCGGAGATGGGAGGACGATGTTTCATCCCCGCAGCACAGGCAGCAGTATTAAGACTGAAGAAAACGGCAACTACTACAACACGGCTCAGTTCGGTTGGTGGTCGTTGGTGCTTGGGAAGTCCTCTGTCATCTCTAGCAACGATATTTCATGGTGTCGCTCACCGGGATCGTTTGGCAGCCTGCTAGAAAGGCAGGACAACGCTACCCAGGCCGCAGTCGCTGTATAGTCTGACTGGTGGGAAGGCGGGATGGTAGAGGGGCAGCCATGGTTGTGGAAGTGCGTGGAGGGGTGAGTGGCGATTAGTGGATGTACAAATGTCTTCCCCTCCCCGCTCTCTCTTCCTAAGCATCAAATTTTCCCATTTTTCCTCCCCTTCCCATCCCCGCTCCCCTTTCCTCCTAGTAGTGAGGACTGAGAGTAGTGGGCGACCAAACTCGCCCTCGCCAATCAGTCCCCCTAAGCCGCACACCCCCACCCTAGTACTGAGGACTGAGGGCAGTGGACGACTAAATTCGCCCCCGCCACTCAGTCCCCCTAAGCCGCACACCCTCTCCCCTGATAGTGAGGACTGAGGACATTGGGCGAACAACTCGCCCCCGTAACTCAGTCCGAGTGGAGCGGAGAGACTGAGCTTTGTGCCCAAAAACTGGGCTTATATACGGGAAGAATGTGGGCGTAGCCAAGGGAGGAGGTGTACAGATGACCTCAAGGAGCTGTAAAATGCGCCTCCCCTGACACGCATTGCATATGTGTGACCTGAAAAGCCATAAAAATCCTTTCCTCCTACTTTTTTTGCGTTTTTTGCAGCTATGCAATGCAAAAACGCATATTGTCGAGGGCTTGTCTGTGTGTGTATGTGTTTGTGTGTCTGTGTGTGTGTGTATCTGTGTGTGCGTCTGTAACGAGTTTTCATCTCGAGATCCACAAAAGCTATAAGGCTGAAAATTTGGTGAATTAATCTATACATACGTGCGGGCTCGTATCCTCAAAATGGACGCTCAGGTCCGCGTGGTTCTCACGTAGGGGCACGTGAAAGTGTTTTTGGCAAGGAAGCGTTTTCGGGAACGGCCCATGCTTGGAGGCTGAAACTTTACAGAGTTGTTTCTTGGCCCCGTCATCGAAAGATTTCAAATCCAGCCTTCACGCATCTTCAGGATTCACGTACGCACACGTCAAAGTTTAAATTGGCATCATGCCAACTCCAGAATTAAGCTGACCAATAAGTTGCAGGGAGCCGCAATTTTGTAGCGTTACATTACTTGTTGCCCACTGTTCTGTTTGTGAAAGTAAATTACTTGTCAGCTGTTCTGCATATCACGTACGAAAACGTGAAAATTTCACTCATGCGCTATTGTAACTTTAGAATTGAATCAGCCAGAGGCCCTAAACTTTCTGAGTATAACCGATGGTGCCCTTTGACCAGATGCACGCAAAAACGACTTACACGTCACTTTCACGTCTCGCGTGTGCACACGTGAAATTTGACGTAACTCTGCAACCAGAGCAGCTGGAGTGTTGAAAATTTCTGAGCACTACCTAGGGCCGTCTTTAAGTAACCGCAAGCGAAGAAAGCACTCACGTTGCTACTCACGTACGAGCACGTGAAATTTGGCGTAACTCCACAACCGAGGCATCCAGAGCGCTGATTTTTTTGGGCATGGACTGGGAGTCATTGTAGTAATTTCTAACAGTCGTGGTGGCCAGTCACAATTCTTTTAGCTAAAAGCATCGGCCAGAAAGAGCGTGCTACTGGCGAAAAAACCTGCTGGGGAACTGTGCAAAAAACGCATCCTCGTACCGGCAGCCGGTACGCTTTCGACTAAGTTTTCGCATCCTCCCCACGCTATCAAAGAAATTAAACTTAAGGCAAATAAGCGGCTTCTCCTTCATTACCACAACTAAAATTCACCAGAAAACCGAAAATCTGTCATGAATGCATCTGCCTAATACGAGACTTCGGCCCAGTGTTGCAGTGGTTAAAAGAACAAGTGAAACGATCCTCATAAGCAACAATCCGAAAATGAGGGGCCGACACTTGGCTTTTTTTCGAAGTTCAGCTAAAAGGATGCTCTCTTTGAAGCTGCTGCTACTACTGTTGCTGCTGCTGCCGTTGCTATTGCTACACCGAGCATGCTTAATTGAAAATTCTCAAATGTCAATGGCGTTAGCTCGGCTTCCTTTACAAACACTCAATCCACACAAAGCAACAATTGCTTTGCAATTTTTTCGATTTCAACTCTGGATACTACTTAAGAGGAAGGCCCATTCTCTTTTTCTCCCCAAACATTGCCCTGTCCCTTAAGCGCGCTATTTCTGTCAGAAGCGAGCAAA